ATATATATATATATATATATATATATAAAACATGGCTATGCATGCATGAAAAAGTAAGAAAAAGGTGGTAGCAATATATATATGATGTACATGGATGTGCGTGTTTAATAAAAGTAATATTTTTCAAATACAAAATCAATTATCTGCCTCGATAACCAGACCGTATCAAATTATCATATTTCTTTGGCTTTTATATGTTTGTTTTTTATAAATAAATGATTTCTGTTAATCCCTAAAATCAAACCTAAAGTCTATATTAACACTTCGTCTTTTACTATTTCGGTACCAAATTATACCATATGGTTGGGTTCACGTGAGATCAAAAGTTTTTGTGAGACCCGTAAGATCAATTWATGTTCATTGATCAACTTTATAAGCTAATGATCTAATTGTCTAAAGTTGTACGGTGGCAGTTTTGTGATTATTGAGAAATCTCGTGGCAATTTTGTGATTATGAATGTTCAGATTATAGATCTAATCCAAGAGTTGAGAATTGGTCTTACAGGTCTCATGAAAAACAGACTTGGGATCATGTGAGACCAAGGGTTTTCGTGAGACCCGTAAGACCAATTCTGAACCCTTGGATTAGATCTATAATATGACAATCTGAACATTCATGAATGCCACGAGACTTCTCAATAATCACAAAATTGTCACCGTGCAATTTTAGATCATTAGATAATTAGTTTATAAAGTTGGTCAATTAAGATAAATTGGTCTTACAGGTCTCACGAAAAACCCTTAGTCTCACGTGAACTCAACCATATATATATATATATATATATATACATCTTGATTTTAATATTTCATTTTATTCTTTATCTCAATCGATGTTATAATATGATCGTATGTGATTTTGAGAAAACAATGATGTTTTTATTTTTGAATAAAATATAAGTTTGAAGATATCATAAAAATTTGACAAAAATATATCGATATTAATATCAAATTTAACTATTTAAAATTCCTCATTTTTTTGTGTAATTTTTTAATTCAATTTTTTTATAATTTAATTTATATACAATAACGAAGTAATTTATATTTAATTTAATAATATAATTTTCTTATAAATATAATAATTGTTTATTTTGTTAGAACTCGATAATTATTCTAATTATATTTTAGATTTTTTATATTTTAAAATGAGATGTTTATCCTCTATTTAATTATGTTTATCCGCAGTTAGTTATACAAATTCAAACATCGAGCTTTAGTAAGTTGTACTTATGCATAATTTACTTGTAATCTTGAATTTTAAGTAATATGCATCAATATACAGTACTTTATGCATAACAAAAATATATCGATATTCGTATCAAATTAACTATTTAAAATTCCTCATTTTTTGTGTACTTTTTTAATTCAATTTTTTTTATAATTTAATTTAAGTACAATAAGGAAGTAATTTATATTTGGTTTAATAATATAATTTTTATATAAATATAATAATTAATTATTTTGTTAGAACTCGATAATTATCTTAATTATATTTTAGATTTTTTTATATTTTAAAATAAGATGTTTATCCTCTATTTGATTATGTTTATCCGTAATTAGTTATACGAATTCAAACATCGAACTTTAATAAGTTGTATTTTTGTATAATTTATTTGTAATCTTGATTTTAAATAAACATTGGTTTTATGTGGTTTTGAGATAGTGATAATGTTTTTATTTTTGAATAAAATATAAATTTAAAAATAATAAAATTTTGAAAAAGAAAATATCGATATCAGTATTAAATTAATCTTTTTAAAAATTCTTGTGTTTAGGTGTAATTTCGTTAATTAATTTTTTAATTATAATTTAATTTAGGTTTAGTAACAAAGAAATTTAATTTAGATTTAATAATATATTTTTTTTATAAAGATAATAACTATGCATTCTGTCAGTTATCAATGATTATCCTAATTTAGATTTTTTATATTTAAAATGAGATGTTTATCCAATATTTGATTATGTTTATCTGCAGTTAGTTAGACAAATTCAAGTATAGAGCTTCAATAAGTTGTACTTATGCATAATTTAGTTGTAATCTTAAATTTTAAGTAATATGCATCAATAAATAGTAATTCATGTATAAAAAAATCGTTTTTAATAGTTTTTGTCAAATGTTTTATAATATAGTGTGTATATATATATTGATTAACCTAGATATCCAACCCGCTATGCGAGCCGACTAATCCAAGGGCGACCACCTGCTTTGCGGATAGCCAGGAGTCACCGCATTTGAACCTTTGTGGTCACAAAAGGATTTTTTATTCTTTTTTGGATTTGAACCTGAGACTTTTAGACATTTTGACGTTTGGAGTCCAAGTTCAAACCAATCAGGCACCACCCTTATAATTATAACTTTATATATTTTATCTCTAGATAATCGGTCAAAGGCTTTGAACATATAAACAATTAATATATGATGAACCATTTTATATTAAAGTTAAAATAACAAGATATTGAGATGAATTTAATAAAACATGTAAAAAAAAATAGAATCTGATATTGAAATGGATTTAACAAAACAATATACGGGATACTGAAATGAATTAATTTCTTTTAGTTTAAAATAAAAATTTATGATTGAAGATAGAATATTAGAGAGATGTGTGATTTTATAGAATAAAAGTGAGCTTGAAAACAACGCTTTCATTCCTATCCATATATTTTAAGTTATTTCCAAAAATACCCCAAAAGCAAGCATTCATTTTTTTGTAGGTCCCTCGATATCGAGAAACACACCTTCAATGGTCTACACAAACACATTGCATTCCGGATGCTACTTGTCTTTGTCATCCATCATCCCCACAAATACCACCCTATTTTATTTTATTTTATTTTTTTATTAAAATAAATATTATTTAGACTGTTTGTTTTTTTTTTTAATTTTTATAAGACAATTATGTTTTATTCTTCTTTTTATCTGATAAGAGGTAAACTAACCTTTTATTTGCCCCTTATTGTTCTTCAAACTCTTACCAACAATGTTTCTCAATCGGTTAACTTTAATTGATCATTTCTAATAGGTAAAACAGACAAACAAAACAAATTCAGACATTTATCGGTTTACAAAAATAAACAGTCTTATTGATTCAGATTTCAACACCACCTCTTATTAATCAGAAGTGAAATAAGACTTCATACTTCTACTTAATGGATTCATCCACTTGTATTTATGAAATACTCATTTGCCCTAAAGACTCTCTTCATATCTTTCATCCTACTCGCTCACCTGACCAAAGAACAAAATGAAATGGCGAGTCGAAATTGAACCCAACACCAGAAATCAAACGGAGATCAATGCAACGGAATGGTTGTAGCAAAACTAAGGTTTCCAAAATTGTCAACCCAGTAAATTGGCCTGACCCGGTCTCTAAAATTGTCGAACTAAGATTCAACCAACATTTTTAAACATTTTGTTCAAAAAGAATGAACGCCCAAGCGGTTTGGGCCCAAAATATATCCGGACATCGGATAGCCCAAAAACCAAATGGCCCAAGTATATGGGGGAGAATGTAGTGTGTGTTTTTCTCCTTTTTTGCCATTGCATAGAGCTCTATAAGGTATTATTATTGATTGAAATGTAACAATATTCGACACATTTAATTATTGGCATCTAGTGAAACGAAACTAGAGAGTCGATTGTTTCTTCTAAACTCAAGAATACAAACTGTATACGTATTTCTTACTTACCTTTCACAATGCAGACTTATCATCTCTACCATTTCTAGCACAACGCATATACACGTTTGCTTAGTTTGATTCAAACTCCATAAACGGGTAGCAAGTTACGAACAAAAGCATAAGCAAGTGCACCTGTAAATATGTAACTATCCACCCTGTCCAGTATCCCACCTGCACCCCCCATCATACACAAAAAACAAAACAAAATCAAATTAGCACATTAAATTCCACGGAAACCCGGTTCAAAACAAAAATTACAAGTGTTCAGGTAGCAGAGAAGTGCGTAGAATACAAGCAACAGGTACAGTAAGTAAAAAAAAAAGGAGCAGGAAGAACTCAACCGGCATGTAGGAAAAGCAATCAGCACAAATCTAGCACGATATGCACATGCTGTGACATGAGAATTCTATGTTTCCCTCTCTGTTTAAGTTGATTAAAGTCATTATAAGTTTACTAACGGAACGCAATGTGGTGACGCCATTTCGAATTTCAAGAGTTGACAAAATTTATCATCAATAGGAACAGTACTAGATAAGACTGACACCAAAATAAGCTTTCAAAAAAAGAAACTCGCAACATGTTTAAGGTGATGCAAGAAACTAGTTGTTTCAGAAAAGAAAGAACATGTTTGAACGATCACACTATTTACCTTCATTCTCTATTTGTTAGGACCTGTCACAATGAAGCCCAGAATCACGTCTTCGCTTCTACTTGCACCATATAAGACGATGAAAATGGCTGGAATTCCAAGTGGCCGATAAAATACATTTTTATTTATTTTCTTAAAGGTTCTCTATGGTTCAAAAGAAAAACGGTCCATTTGTCGCTCTTTTTGTCATTGGTCTCCCTCCACCTTCTAACGAAAAAACATTGATGAAACTGAAGTCACCAAGAGTACAACTGAGGCACCAAATGAAGTATCAAGGGATAAATTTATAAAAACAAAGTGTCATCTATAGAATTTCTAGAACGACTGGCTCTTAAGTTTGTATCCCAATGCAAATGTATGTTTCTTAAACTTAGGAAGCTAAGTAGCACAAGTATGTCAACCGTGGAAAAACAGAACAGTGGACAAAAATGGTTCTGCGCAACCGTGTTTTCAGCTGTAGCATGCCTCCATTAGGGGTAAAAAAAGGTAATATTCATCCGTTTAAAAGAAGGTAGCTTTCATAGAGATAAAATACATACAAAATTAGTGTAGCAGAAGTTTGCATCATATGGTATTGCAATATGTACAAGGATCAATATCTTTGAAACATAAACTGAAGAAATGCTCACAAGAATGGGGGACAAAAGCCATGTGTTTGCACATGGCCAATCATTCCTTTTCCTAGTATGTTTTTGGTCAAAGCAGATTTATTGACTCGCTAAACATGTACTAATGACCCTTATGTTTTTATCACAATAAAGTAGGAAAGGAAAGATCCATATTTCTTTAATTGAAAACTTGTAAAAAGATTCCCTCAAGAGAAAATATAACAAGATGTTATCAAGTAATTTGAGTATATATCGATGAGAATAGTGATGTAGGTAGCAAAGAATGAAGAGTACACTGACACAACTCCAGTTAGTACAGATGAAAACCAGAAGTAGGCATCTCTAACATGGTCAAGAAGAGACCAATGACCACTGTACTAGTAATTACTAGCAAAGAAACAAGATGTGTGAGAGAAAAGACCAATTACCATGGCCGGGAATGAGGGATCCTGAATCTTTAACACCAGCATCTCTCTTGATCATCGACTCAAGAAGGTCACCGAAAAGAGAGCCAAAGAAGTTCAGGACACCAAAACCTATTGCACTGACAAACAAGAGTACATGTTAGCACAAGTGCAGAAATTTGGTACGTGGAATAGAACAGACCAAAACCTTGTGGCTCCACATTTGGCACGACTTTAGACTGGGAGAGGATGGGCCAGAGTGAACAAAATGCACTTTTTGGTCCCACCAAAGTAGGTGGAACAAAAATTAAGGAGATGAGACAAGATTGGTAAATTACTAAGCTACCCATATCAAATTTAAACCCTGAAACCTTCCACCATTCTTTCACTTCACTCTCACCCGTCCAGGCCTATCCAGTCCAGTCTCATCTGTGTACCAAACACACAAGGACACATGATCTATATACCAAACAGTAAGATAGCTAAAGTCCGTAAGTACCTGAGCACAGATGTAGGCCATGAAAAGATCTTTGACAATATTACAGAGGTGGCTATGCATCCTGTTAAGCCTGCAAGAGCTCCCTCCCATGTTTTCTTAGGACTAATATTGGTAAGCGGTGTCCTTCCAAATGCCTGCATTGGAAGTATTGCATGAAATAATAGTAAAGAATATAAAGACGCCAAATCAAAGAAATCAGGAGGGTTGAAGTGAAGTTAATATACCTTGCCACCAGCAAAAGCAAATGTATCTGCCGCAATTATGCTGCTGATAGATATCAACGTGGCAACAAGACCCACCGTCCAATGAGCTTGACCACCTAAAAGTACAGGCCATGTAGCTCCCACTCCTCTTGAAGATACAATATTGGATTAGTAAGATCATAAGCAAACAGTATCAGGCAAAGAAAAAATGAAAGCTATATATTGTCTGGGACAGCCATAGGTGGAAACAGTTGTGATTAAATCGAATCCAAAGATTAAGTGGAACAGAAGTGCAAAATGTGAACTTTTTTTGCAATCCTTTTAGTTTTCGTACTCTATGAAAATTGAATATGAAAGCTGCAGACCATTCTTTTAACTGACTTTTGTATGATTGAAACCCTATCATGTTTTATGAACAGTAAAATGCTTATGATCAAGCAAGTGAAGCAACCTCTCCCCTTTTGAAGCATATGCATAATAAAGCAACACATACTATAATTTACAGCATCTACCAAATCGATGAATCAAATGAAGTGCTAAATCAAGAAAATAATAATACTTAACGTTGTGAACATATGAAGATACGATTGTGGGTTCGTTTACATGACATGAGGAGAACCGGAGATCGGCATCCACAAAATGGAGCCTGGAGTATGGAGGATGGAAGAAAATGAAATAAACGAATAGAACCTAAGGCATCTACATCAAGTTTAATAACCTAGAAGGGCATTATCTTCTTGAAAGAACTAGAAGAATCATGTCTCTTTCAAAATATTACTTAACATGTCGAGGTTCCCAAATACACACTCACAATGATCACAGATAACGATTTACACTTCTAAAGCATGTTTCATGCGTCTCTCTCTAAAATCAGTTAAGATTCAGTGCACTGTATTGGAATTTGGAAACCTATATCAAGTACAAGCTACTTTATCTTTAGTTTCCGTGATGCAGGCCTTAATGAGACTAGACCTGCCTCTTCCTGAACCATATTAAGAAAAATTCTCTTATTGTTCTCTCGATTACCAACAAAGAATTGCACGACCTCTTTAAGCTCTTTCCAGAAAAGATGGCATCATTTTCATGGGTGAAAGAGTTTTCTAACCATCATACTTATAACTTATAGTTTCATTGCAAACTAACCAATATTGTTATGAATCGAATAACAGGGGTGAAGCAAACACAAAAATAGAAAGGAAATGCTTGGCCAAATTGTATTCAAGCGAACCAAATGAATGGAAAACAAATGACATCGTAGAGAACCTCTAGCAGTTCGAGAGTGCTAGTCTCTCCCAAAAGGTTCTTCAATTTCTGACTGCTTAACCCCTCTTCCTTCCACCCTCTTTATACTATATTTATTATCAGGACTACAAAATGCACATATATTACCCCATATCATTCTCTGTTGTTTCATTCTAGAGACTGCTTAAATTTTCAGGAGAAGTTGGCATCCTTCACAAACCAAGAAGACTGAACCCATTCCCACATTTCTAAAAATCATGTCAAAAGAATAACTGTAGAATATCCCACATAGTTCAGGAAAATCAGTCAAGTACCCGTCTTCTACGTCTCACGTTTTAAAGCAACAGACACTCAGGATGTTAAATGCTGACAAACACACATACACATATATACTGAAATATAGGCTGCTCATTTAAACAGTTCTAGCACCAAGAAAGTACCACCTCATTACATGCTAATTATCTTATAGACCATATTTTCAAAATTCAACCTGTAAGAAAAGCACAATAAGCGCCATAAGCTATAAATTTCAACACATACTTGAGAAGTTTCATCTAGTCACAAACTCCCCAAGTCCTACTTGGTAGGCTATATATTATATACCTAGACATAATAACCTGTATTTGTAATTTTGGGCAAAAAATAAGAAGGTTCACTCATGGGTAGAAAGTAAGGCGAGGACCATTCCACATTAAGAAAAATTTCAACCGTTGTAGATTGATAAGCATGAAAAACTGTAAATTTACCAGTATTTAAGGCAGGTGCTGTTAAACGACATCTAAGTTTAACCCAGAACGAAGGAAGATAGCCGCAATAGAACAGGCCAAATATTGTACTGCTTAGCTGCGAAAAACGAGGATTTCCCCTTTGTAACAGTAATGTAATAGCAACAACAAAGGCCGCTGATGTAACAGAAACATCAATTTGACCCTTATATCTGAAACCACAGCAAATGGAATGATCATGGAAAGCAAAAAATGAAAATGGAAGTATGAATAATACATAACAAGCTTTTTAAGATACTCCTTTTTATTAACAGGAACATGGTCTATTATTTACTTTCTTGCGTGGGGTGGAACACAGGTAGCAGTCAGCTGTCAATCTAGTGTGGGCAAATGATTCATCACGTTCAGTCTTATGCATTAAAGAACAAGTTATCAGGACAGATTAAACCGCATGTATAAGCAAACACGGGGGAGGGAGTTACTGATTTTTTTATACACAAAGATAAAGGAATTGGCTTTTAGATGATCACATCTAAGGTACTACAATTGGACTATCTCACAGAAGTTACAACCCCTCATAGTAAACTCAGCATGTGATTAACGTGATTCCTTCGTCATTCCACCATACAGGAAGAAAATTGACCACCTTTTAATTTTTAAAATTTTGGACCTATTTCTAATTTAGAATGGACTTTCAGAATGATTTACCATCATACCATAAATTAACATAATAGTTATTTTTAATCTACAACTAAAACAGTTCATTGGGCATTCAAACCATCAAAATTCATGACTTCCTCCTTGCAATAGTGCTTACACTACCTAGTTTGAAGAAGAAGCAATGGGTGTAAATCATCCTTCACCTTTTATACAAAGCATTTCAGTTTTTCACCACTAGTCTATTGTTTTTCAAAAGCAAGTTTATTTATAACCTGGTAATTAGCCAATGATTCATATAAAAACTAGGTGAGAAAAACAAACATCAATTTCTCATCAGATGAACATATAGGATGTTATATTTCAATTGAAAAGACATTTTTGTGAAGCATGAATAACCAACAGGGATCTACAACATGTTGGACTCTGTAAACTTTGAGAAAGATGCGGTAAATATTGGACATATATAGAAAACAATATTAATGGACAGAAGGCAAAGCATAGTATTTGGCAGTTAAAACAAACATAACGTCATATCGATTTCCTTGAGATTTTAGAAATAATTCTGACAGTAGCATCTAGATATGGAAATGCCATAGCAGGAGCAGGGTCAAATCTTATGGAAACAATAATGGGTATCTTTATTATATTAGCAACTTATTTGTTAAGGTAAAACATCCACCATTCCTAGAAAAAAAATTATGAAGTACATTTCACATGATTTTTTTATGATACAAGCCATAAGAAATTAGAAAGTACGCAGCAGATCTTACAGTGTCAATAGAGGCATAAGAGCACAGATAACAGAGCAAACTCGCGACACATAGCGAGGAGGGGGAGTCATTCCAGAAGCAATTCCATGACTTCTAACCAATTCAAAGTATTCTCTTGAACCAGCAAATATAGCAGCAGCTAAGGCCACAGAGAATACCCATCCTCCTGTTAGAACGACTCCACCAGCAGAAATTCCAATTCCAAGTCCAAAGACAACCCTTTTTGCTAACTGACTTGATTTCTGCTGTTGCATTAAATCTGCATCCTCTTTTGATGAACCATGGTTTTTGTTAACCTACACATACTCATTGTCAGTGTAGCCTGTGACTGAATTTCGAATGCATCAGGCTGAAGAAATCAACTAGACATGGTAAATATGTTCATTATTTCTGTCTTCAGTTTAGCATATATAATATATGGACAAAAATGAAGTTTTTCTGCTTATTTTAATAATTATAAATAGAGTTGAATACTTGAATAGTTTATCCATCATACACTAGTTGACCAGTTCTATAGCCATATCATGTATAGCTCATTTACTCTCTTAGTTCCCTAAAAACCTAAACAAGAATATCCTTTTTTAACCGTAAATTCTTAGGTTATCATCAACTAAATCCTTTGAGGTTATGAAGCAACCATAGAATACCTTTATTCAATAATTTGACACACTTTGAATTTTTTTATGGCTAAAACAGTCTTAGAATCTAAACTTACACTATCATAGCATAAAATTTCAGATCAATTTCGACTTCTATTTTACAAAAAATCTAATAAAGTCACACTATCAATCCTAGGTCATGAAATGACTGATTCAGCCAACATCAATGGGTATGTCCATTTCCGGTATGAAGAAACCGAGGAAGTCCAATTTATTCAGAGATATTCACATTGCACGGTCCCATGGTATATACTTCATTTCCCCAAAATTTAGTTCTACAATCAATGCAAATGAATACTAGCAAGAATTAACAACTTATAGCACCATTTATTTTCGAAAATTCTTCTCTTACCTCAACAGGTTCCTCATCTTCAATCTGGTTCGCCTCGGCTCTAACCACCAGAGTCTTGGTGAAAATCCTCGGTCGGTTACAATGAATTCCAAATCCACCATTAGGAATTTGGAAAAGTGCATCAACGAACTTGAGTTTAAGATTGATAGATGGCCGACTCAAAATTAGGGATTTAGGGGAAAATTGGCAGGCGCAAATGGAAGAAGCAACTGAAATTGGGATGAATGCGGTGGTGTCAGTACCGCGTAATCCATCGATTTTGACGCAATATGAAGATGAAGAAGCCATTAACGATGGTGATGCAATCATCCGTTAATCCATTTGTGCTATAGATTTTATCAAGAGGAGGAGGAGGGGGGAATTGGGGATGACGATAGCGGCGGCGAGTGATATGCAACTGGCAGCCTACACACAGGTGGCCGTGTATCCTCCCAACACGGTCATAATACAAATCCTTTTTAGATGTAAATCGTATCAAAATAACATGACGTTTGTAGTTACCGAATAATTGGTCAGAATGATCAATAGATTCTTATCATATAGGACAAAATAAAATATTATTGTTTAGCAATTATTTATAATAAAATTATGGAGTTTAATGGTTAAGGAAGGTGCATGATACAAATTATTCAGAAGATTTTAAAATTATTAAGAACAGATTTTTTTTTGCCAAATAAGATTCATCATTTAACAATTTAGAGACCATCTAATGAAACTATTAAGAGGTAAACAAACAACCAAGTTTTGATAAACCATTTTTTTTGTTTTTTTTAAATATTTTTAGTTTTAAAAAAGTTAAAATTTTCAAAAAAAGCATTTTGGACGATTGTCAATATATCATTTCAATTCTAAAGCTACATTATATAAATCAAACAGACATATTTCAATTTATGTCAATCAAACAGATAGTTAAACTTGATAATATTTAATTCTAATTCCTTCAAAGTCAATTTCTTTTGATAGATTTCATTTCATATGAAAACATTTTACAAATCAAACTTCACATTATAGTTTATGAAACGAAGAATTACCATACTTTTAATTAAAATAATAATTTAAATTTCTTCATGTCATAATTAATGATAGAAGATAAAATTACGTTTACTTTTAAAAGTAAAGGCTAGAAATATGGATACAAACATTTGAAATAAAAAATTTGATTATCGGCAACCCCAATAAATCCTAACAAGGGGTCCAAGATCGAACTCGGGACCTATTTTATGTTTGGACAAAATCGTCTTACCCCTTTATTTTTAGGAAATAAAAAATACAAGTTTGAAAATATATTATTTAATAGGAAAATTTATTAACTTAGCATTTTCAGGGTTGGTTTCGCCTTTTAGCCATTTTCTCTCCAAATTTACCAAAATAGTTATAGGTCCACAAATCATGTATACAATTGCAGACTCAGCTAAAAGATAAAAAAAATACACTTTCTACTCTTGTCCGTAAAAAATTACATTTTTCACTTAGGTCTGCAAAAAAATAAGCCGTTCTCATCCAGGTCTGCAAAAAATTTACATTTTTCACCCAACTCCGCAGAAAAGAAATTAAGATTGCCCTTGTGGACACGGAGGTTCAAATGCGATGACTCCATGTTACCTGCAAAGCAGGTGGTCGTCCTAGGATTAGTCGACTCGCATAACGGGTTGGATATCCAAGTTAATAAAAAAAATTAAGACTAGACGTAGGACTATTTCGGACTTCCTGACAGAGCAACCAGTACTAACATGAACTTCWAAATTTCCATGACTTAGGTTGGGTAAAKCTGTTTTCAATGCAATATCGCCAAATATTTTCATAAATATAGCCGATATTTCAATTATTTGGTTAAAGAGAAACCTCCCAAAATCTAATTAATGGTATCATTAAATGTCATTCCAAGACAAATGATGGCAGCCGCCAATCATCGGAATCAAGAGATTTTGAGTGGGTTTAATACCCTTCCCAAGAATAGTTTACAACCTTGAGTCACACGCCTCCTCAAATCCGGTTGCATGCCCAAGAATGGCAGCAAAAATGGGGACGGTTTCGAACTCAATATTTTTAAGAATCGAGACTTTTAACACCAAAATCCTCATCTCTTAAATAAATTCCAGAAAAGAAAATAAAACAATGAGAATTTTGGTTCCAGTAAGCTACAAGATGAGAGAATTGATTTAGAGATGCATGCAAGAYCCAAATCMCCCGAATGTGCAATCGGTCCTTATATGCGAGAACTCTCTTCTTGTCTTTGGGATTAAAAGATCCTTGGGTCACAGATTATCATCCGATGAAGACACATGTAAGTCCTTGATGGATAATCTCACCATCTTTAAATCCCGAAACTTGAGTTGASCAGGAAGAGAGAATAGGAATTTGAGCACTAGAAGAGGAATAAATGGCTTTTAGAACATACCTTTTTGTAGACGAGGGAGATATGAACGACCCGAATGCGGCGGAATTTCTAGACTTGCAGGGGGAAGAGTTCAGCTAGAAGGTGATGAAATTTAGAGAGGGAGAACGAAAAAGGTTGGAACTTTTRAAGAATGAAGAGTTTTCAAAAGAGAATGGGGTATTTATTTGGGGCTTTTAGAGGAGTAGTGGGCTGGCCTCTAAAGGCCCAAACCCAAGGGGCTTTTACTTTTCTAAGCTAAGTCCCAAAAATCTAAAATAGCCAAAACGGTTTTACAAGGACCTTTGAATCGCCACTCTTTTAAAATAGTTGGCAACTAAACAAAAGGGAATTGAGACTTTTGGGAAAACTTTAAAATTTTAAAGGAACGAGACTAAAATATCAACTTTATTTTATGTGAAACGTTTCGAGTTTGATTGGCATTTGCATGAACCAACTTGGTCAACTACCCGCTGAAATATGATCTACAACTAATCTTTAGAAGGTAAATAAGACGATCTGTTAGCATTAATTTAATGCTAATGATGTTCTTAAAAAGTTTTATTAAGCTATCGGGGCTAAGGATTGGACTCCTGGAAATGATGCTGTGCCAAAACGTCCAAGACTGGAAAAAGACCAGCTGCTGTACTGAATCGATCAAGCATGGGCGACCAGCGCCTCTGTAAGAAGAACCAGCGCCTCTGTGAAAAGACACCAGAGCATCTGTGAAGAGACACCAGAGTCTCTGTGAAGAGACAACAGAGCCTCTGTGAAGAGACGCCAGAGCATCTATGAAGAGACACCAGAGTCTCTGTGAAGAGACGCCAGAGCCTCTGTGAAGAGACACGAGCATCTATGAAAAGACACCAGAGTCTCTGTGAAGAGACAACAGAGCCTCTATGAAGAGACACGAGCATCTATGAAGAGACACTAGAGTCTCTGTGAAGAGACAACAGAGCCTCTGTAGCTGTCACCAGAGCCTCTGTGTTAGTACAAACCAGAGCCTCTGGTTGTTCTATCCTCTGGTCTTTTAGACGACCTCTTCAGGATCCTATTCTAGATAAGGCTAACCCTAATAGACTTAGTTTTCAAATAAAGATCCCGTAATAAGGTTCTAACCTGGAAATCTAAAAGTGCAGAGTTGTTACAGGTAAACCTTAAAAAATGACTAATAGATTAAATCAACCGATAAAATTGGTTATTTTAATTATATTTAATAGTATATAAATATTTTGGATGTCACATTTGAAATACCTAAGTAAAAATTTTACAACTACCTTATATCTTCATTTAAAATGTCCAACATTAAACCAACTTAGAATACTAAAAAGGGGTTGTTTGTTGAATTTTTTATTAAGTCATGTATAGGTTAATTGTTTGTGTAGATCAATTTATCTGTATAGTGTCACATCCCGTTAAAGCGAAAACACGAGGCGTAACAGGTCTCAGGTAGACAGTTTTTATGGGGCGTAGGCCTCCCAAAAGGTAACGGAGGTGTGCAAAGGTTTGCTCGGGCCGGACGGAGATTGGCCCTAAGCATTCATAGCTCCATTCGATAGATATCACCATAAATTACATAACTCATAAAAATTACAAATTCGTAATTTTGTTGTTCACGAATAAAACATTATATACACAAAAAGAGGTTTCTAAAGCTTGTGAACAGATGTTATCACAAGATCTTCCAAAACTTTCCTTCTTACTTAATTTCCTGAAAAGCATGAAACACAAAAACGACGTCAACTACAAAGATTTAGTGAGTTTACGGGTTTTAATATGCACAAAATATTTACAATGCATAAACCACAAATTGCAAACTTATACATAACATGCACTTTATAAATGTAAATTTTTCCATCGATGCTTAAAAACTTGAGATGATACAGAGTCTTACCTGACCAATGTGCCCCATTAGTTTACAAATACCATAAGTGGCCCGTTAACTCACTTAGGTACCACGGTTTGTATCAGTACTACTTCAGCGGTGGCCCTTTCGCACACATGAGTAGACTTATGAAAAACTTAGGTAATGTGCACCATTTTCTGGGTGGAACTGTCAACACAAAACGGCTATCCACAATTACCACGGCCCGAGGACGTGCCCGAGTTAACTAGTAGCGTGTACGGACGGAGACTTTTTGAAATATCCTCTCAAGCACATCAATTTACCATTTATAGGTAGTGCAATAATAATCAATTTTTCATGATTTTCACAGTATTCGATTAAACAGTTCTTTAGTCCATAAGTTTTACATCTAAACAGTAAAGTTTGCATTCTTTCATGCTTTTCCCCCCATTAAAAAAGTAACTAAAAACAGTAAAAGTGGGGCTGTGAAAACTCACTGGTTTGAAGAAGAGTATCCAAGGTTTTGGTTAAGCTTAGAGCACCAACGTCCGCACTAATGTCCTAAACACCCAAAATTCCATTAGTTAGATCACCCATCAGGTCACGATATAGATAAAGTAAGATTATATCTTATGTAATGCCAATAAACCTTTATGGGTTAAAGTTGATACAAAAAATAACCCAATATTTAATTAAATAAAAGGTTTTTGCACAAAAAGTTGCTACTTGGACAGATATACAAATTATGTTCCTAGACTCTTGGTTTCACCAATCATTGTCAAGTGAACCTTCCAAAAATCATTTTACTTTTAATCTTTTAAAATTACAACAGTCACTGTTGTTAGATTTCTTTGTCTAACAGCAGCCTTTTTTGCTCCTACAAATTTTATATTAACATTTAAAGGCTCAAAACTCAATATCTTTGAGTGAGACCCGAAGTAGTAAAATAGTAACTAATCAAAACAAACTCTAACAAAAATCAAATATTTTGGGTTGAAATTGAAGAGAATAGTCAACATGATTGTTAGAAACAACCTATCAGTTTCAAAATGCCATTTTTATTGATTAAAAACTACATGCATTGAGGTTTTATCCCATTTTCTTGAGTTCTAAGTTCATAGATCATAGATTATCATCATTTTGAATACATTTTTATGCCCTTGATGAATAATCTCTCATCTTAGATTTTTCCCATAATATCTTTGAGCTCATAGCGAAGAAAGAAAT